GTGTTATTAAACAGAGTATTTACTAGTTTAGAGTTCAGTGTTTGCCTGTTTGGGTTATGGACTTATGGTTAAGGGTTGGGGTTAGTTTTAGGGTTAATTACTTAATGTTGTGATTTAAGATAATGTATGGTTGATGGTTAAGGTTAGTTTTAGGTTTCAGATTTAAAATGGTGTTATAAGGTTATGGTTTAGGGTTAGGGTTTAGGGTTTAGGGTTTAGGATTTCTTCATGGTTATGCTTTATTATAGATATTTTGGTTTTTATAGTTTAGTAATTAATTTGATTTTAACAATTAATTTAACTTGTGAATGTACATATTAAATATATCATATTCAAATGACATTCCAACCGACGGATCGAACAACAAACTAGTGAATATACGGTTGTGGACTCGTGGTTTAGAGTTAGGAGGATTAGGACATATGTTCTTCTCAATAACCAAATATAAAATTGACTTAACTTACATTCTTCACATAACATACATTATAGTTTATACTAACAATTTCATAACATATAACTATAGCTCATGGTTTAAGGTTAGTGTAGAGGGTATACGGTCGTGGACTCATGGTTTAGAGTAAGGAGGATTAGGACGTATGTTCTTCTCAATAACCGAATATAAAATTGACTTAACTTACATTTTTCACATAACATACATTATAGTTTATGCTAACAATTTCATAACTTATAACTATAGTTCATTGTTTATGGTTAGAGTATAGGGTCATGGTTTTGAGTTCAGTGTTTGAGTTATGGTTAGGGGTTGAGGTTAGTTTTAGGGTTAATGACTTAATGTTGTGGTTTAGGATAATGTATGGTTGATGGTGTTATAGGATAAGGGTTTAGGATTTCTTCATGGTTATGCTTTACGATAGTTATTTTGGTTTTTATATTTTATTATTTAATTTGATTTTAACAATTAATTTAGCTATAGGGTAAAAGTATGAATTTAAAATATTTTGAAAACTTCTGAATGTACATCATAAATATATCATATTCAAATGACATCCCGATCAACGAATCGAATCATAAACTAATTAATCGGTATAAAATTTATCATTTATAATAATAAATATCAAAGAAATGAAAGAACAAAATTTTAACAAATATTTGAGGGAACATTTTTGAATAGAATTTAAACAATAAATTTTTGAACCCCAAATATCTCCACCAAAATTCCCTCCCCAAACGGCAAAAGAGCTTTTAAACCCCGCCCAAAATTTGGTCCAAACTTCCCCTCCCAAACCCGAAAAAAGTTTTAAAACCCCCGCCCTATACTTTGGCCAAAATTCCCTCCATCCCACAGCTAGGGATGGCAACAAAAACCGAACCCACGGGTACCCACCCGACCCAACTCGGTCAACGCGGGTAAAACCCGTGTTGACGGGTTTTGGGTCGGGTTCGGGTTTAAACCCACTACATTATTCACCGGGTCAGGTTGGGTTTAGGTAAACCTGCCCCATGGGTACCCGTCCACACACATATAATTACTTTTCCGGTATATTTAATATTCCAAATAATATATCTTCCTTAAATAACTAATATTATTTATGTTTATGGAGACATGTATAATTTGTTCTTTCTAATTGTTTAGAATGAAGTTGGTATTATAAAGTGGAGAGTGAAGAAACTTAGTTGACGAGGAAGAAGCTTTCAATTAATTTTATTGTTTATAGATGTTTATCTTTAATTTTGAACAATTTGTATTGATCATTTGCAGTTTTCTTGTATGCTCTAAATTGGTGTTTTTTGTATGATTAATTTGTATGATAAAATTGATGTTAAACTTTTATTTTGAAAGAAACTTATTATTGTAAAATTTTTACCACAAAAACCCACGGGTACCCATGAACCCGCGAATACCCAGCGGGTTGGGTTGCGTTTGAGTTTTTCAAACCCAACGGGTTTTGCCCCGGGTTTTTTTGGTGGATAAACCCATGGGTTTGGGTTTGGGTTTGACAAAACCCGCCCCAATCCTACCCATTGCCATCCCTAGTCCCAGCCTCTTTCTATAACAATATATATATAATATTAACAATAAAACTCTGGCCAAAATTCTTAATAATCCCTGCAACGTACCAACAAACTAGCAACATTCAACTTGTTTATGATATATTCAAGCAAAATCTAGCCACTCATTTGTTTAATAATTGACCTTCATATTTTTTCATTGCAAAATGGTGACCCGTGAGTTTGTTTTGAATTAGTGTAATAACTTATTATAAAAAAAAACATCGACAGTTTGGACCGAACAACCCGCAACCCGACCTGTTGTAACCCGCAATCCGATCAACCCAAACCCGATTGATCCGCAACCCGATCAACCCGTAACCCGACTGATCCGCAACCTGATCAACCCGAACCCGATTTTCCCGTAACCCGATCGACCCGCAACCCAATCAACCAGCAACCCGATTAACCCAACCCGACTTGACCAGCAACCCGATCAACCCGCAACTCGACTAAATCCGATCCGAACCAGCCTGATTGACACCTATAGTTGGAGGATAAATTAAGGAAATTAAAAACTAAATTGGAATATCTAAAGCCTTTGCTTATCGATCAATCAAATTTCTCCATGAAAATCCTCCTCCTAAACGTCTCTCAAAATTAATATTTATTAAGCAATAAATCATTTGGACAAAGCAAGTGGAATGATGAGGTAGAAAAATAAATTTAGTTTTTAAGTTTCTAAATTTGCATCATCTAGTTAACGGCCAAACTTTATAGTTGACAATCACGTAGGACAAATTTAACGGAATGATCGGTGACTAACGGTGAGACGATTCGTAAAGTTAGTGGTGAATAAGAAAGAAAAGTAATTCAGGTGGCAAATGTGAAAATTTTGTATAATTTAAGTGACCAAATGTATAATTTAGCCAACCAAAAACAAATTGAACAGGACAACCGTCTGCTTACAAGTTAAACCTTAATATAAAGCGAATGACAAGGCTATTCATGATCATAGTTAGTAAATACTTCGTTAAATACACGTATATGTACCTATACGTATTTTATCCGTTTAAAAATTTTGTATGCGTATTATTGTCAAGTTGTTTCATTTTTTCCGGTTCATTTGATGGCTCCCGTACTAAACACATATAAAACTCATATAACACGTTTCATATCCGTATTTAATGAATTAAATTGTTAAATTTACTATCATTTATATATTTATTTATTTTTAAAATAATTATTTTTATATAATTTATGATTATTAACGTACTATTAAACGTAACATTAAATTAGAGACGAAATAAAATACCTGTACGTATTTTATATGTAACTTTTCTGTATAGTATTTTGCTAACTATGTTCATGATCAAGAAAAAGTCAATTTTCTCCCCTTTGATTTATTTCTCTACCACAAGAACTTGAAGAAGGCAGCAATGACGCAGCTGCTGCTTCTTCCCCCATCACCAAACAATACATACATGAATGTTCTCCTCCAGCACCCTCTTAATCTAGCTTTTCCCGGCTCTAGCGTAGACCACGGAAGGGGCTTCTGGTCATTTCATTTTTAAGGGCTAATTCCACTAGAAAATCACAAACTATTCAAAAGTGTCATTTGTGTCCTAAACTATTCAATATGACAAATCTGGCACGACTATTTTTTCGTTAATGTTGATCGGCGTTGACCGTTAGTATTTAACAGAAAATCTAGTCAATATTTATGTGGTTTGTGTCAGATTTTTCATTTTAAATAGTTTAGTACACAAATGTACTTTATAGAAAAATTAGCCCTATTTTTAATTATTGAGGGACTTCGCACAAAATGGTTTTAATTATATGGGCCTCCAACTTCTTTAGCTAACCAATGGCTAACTTATAATTATCCCTATTTTTAAGGGGTTGCTATTCGTCGCCCTAAAAATCCTTAATCGTCGCCCTAATTAACTTAATTTTACTTTAATGTCCTTAATCATTTATTTGTACTTTAAATATTTAAACCCAAAACAAACTATTACCGGAAATAATAAAAAAAAACAATAATAACTGCGTAACATTCGGCCGGGCTACTCCTTTTCAACTATGTACACGGAAGCAGCTGTGTACTTATTTGGACCACAATTTATAAGGTCTCTTTCCATCTGGGAGACTAGGACATAACTGGGGAATTAATTGGACAAGCAATAGGAGTAGGACACGAGAGGAGTTGGAGAAGGAGAGAGTTTTGGGCGACAACTGTTCTTTCTTCGACTGCGATTTTGGGATTAATTTCCAGACAATCATCAAGAATTAAGGTTAGAGAAACGGGTTACTTTATTCGTAAATTTTCTTTTTTTGTTTGAATTCTAAGATGTTGAACCTAGAATTATTCGTTATTTTATTTTTCATGATTATGAACTAAACCTTAGTTTTTGGGGAAGACAGTAGGATGTAGCTATCGAATTTCTATGATTTGATTCGAATTATTTGTCCTTCTCATGTAAACGAATTGAATAAGGTAATTAGGTAGTGAATTTCAGGCCTTTTTTCCGACAGCTTCTCTTTGTTGATTTTTCTACTTGTTTTCTAGTTTAGTTATTATATTGTCTTTCGTTTACTACAAAAACACTTTTGTTCTTTCACTTCCTTGATATAATCGTCAAATATGAAGTTGTACCAATCCTTGTGCAACGATAATATTACTTACTTTTATTACTCAGTCGATAATCGGCATATACATTGTTGTACCAGGAGGAAAGAAAGTTGTTTTTCACTCTTGGTGGACATCAGCAGAGCAGACAGGACAAGGGTGAGCCAGAGCATGTAGAACTTGAGTAGTTACATTGTTTAGCTTTTCGGTACTTATCTATGTAGTGTAGATTGTTTAGCTACATGGTTCATCATTTCGGTACTTATCTATGTAGAAGATATTGTTTACTACGTATTAGCAAATTGAAGTACTCTACCTAATAAAATCTGTTCGATCTAAAGGATTCCTGACCAGCCTGTCTCATTTGATGGAGATACATCAATATAGTTTGATTGGGCTTTGTCTTTCTCCAGCCCAATTATTATTATTGTTATTGCTCTAGGTCTTAGTCGAGCAGCAGAGGAAGTCTTCTTTCTCATCATTTCCCCTTTCCCTTCTGCTGCTTCTGACCTGGTCAAAATCCCTAATTTGATTTCTAATTCATTTCATAAGTAATTAACCCAACAGAACATCGAGAACGGGGAATGCTGCTTCTGACCTGGTCAAAATCCCTAATTTGATTTCTAATTCATTTCATAAGTAATCTCCCTTCTGTTACAATAGAACATCGGTTGGTGAGGTCGTGAACTGGGGAGTTGGAAATAGGGAACGAAGTTCTGGATCCGGGAGACGGAGACGACAGGGAATTGGAATTGGAATTAGAGTCGGCGACGGGTGATGGGCTCGGAGGCTGTGAGGTGGCGCTGAGTGAGACGAAGACGAGGAGGGGGAAGACTAGAATGAGGAGTCTGTGAGCTCTGGGATCCGCGCGATGCTGGGATCCGCGCAGTCGGAGTCTGTGGGCTCGGGCGATCAGGAGCTCAGCGACGTCAACGACCACCGACGCGGTGATGAGACGACGGATCGCCGGGTCTCTTCGCCGGAGGTGCGAATCGCTCATCTAGAGACGAGGAAAAAGAAGCGTTGGGAGAGAGATGAAGGTAGGAGCGACCAAGGTATGAGCGTTTTCTTCGCCGGGGTTTGACGGTAGGAGTTGCAGATATGAAAGGAAGAAGAAGCGTTTCTTCGAGCTGGGTAGAGATGAAGTCCAGAACAGAGAAAAGCAATTTTTTTTTGGTGAAAGAATAAAGCAAATTAGCTGCCGAATAACGAATTTTTTGTGTGTGGAAAGAATAAAGCAAATAAAACAATTGTTTTATGTTCAGGGCTACATATGTCAATTCAATACGTTTTAGGGCGATAAAATTTGAATTTTAGGGCGACGAATAGCGATTCAGATTTTTAATTATTGAGGGACTTCGCACAAAATGGTTTTAATTATATGGGCCTCCAACTTCTTTAACTAACCAATGGCTAACTAATAATTATCCAGTATATGGGCTACCGCCTACCATTCACCATGTCCATACAATTTAGGGTATCAATTATGATATTACCCATGCCTCACTTTTATTAGACATTTAGTCCATTAAATGAGACACTTGCAAAGTGCAGGTTGCAAGAAAACCATTGTTTTCATAACCGATAGGATGCTAAAACGGAAAAGTTAGTGGTTCGTGTTTGAATGATCAACCGATATAGAACTGTTGGTTAACCGTTGATAGAATTTTTCATGCGCTATATTTAAAATACATATATAATACACTAATTTAGAAGTAAATTTATCACTACCCATAAAAAATTACAAATCCCAAGTATAACTCATCAGTTCATTCCAAAACATATACAACACACAAATAGTGTTTGAATTGAATAGAAATACCAAAAAAATGGTATTACCTTGCAATTCATAAAGATGATTACCGTAGATAAGTGTAACTTGCAAGTGTAATTATCTTTAGCATTCACCTGTCATTATCTTGTATCTGTATTTATCCTAGGCTAGTTGGTTGTACATATTAGAGTCCTTTTGTAATTATATATATATGTACAGTATGGCTATTTAAAGCCATTCAATCAATGGAATCAACCACCAATTCTCAAAACCTTATATGGTATTAGAGCACGCATAATAGCTTCACAGCTTCCGATCCTCACTTTATCACTCTCTTATCTCACCTTTCCAGCTTTCCTCTTTCTATTCGTTTTCTGCACCCATGAGTTCCAACTCCACTACCACAAATAACAGCAGCTCTGGCACCCAGAGCACTCTCTCTGTCGATGCTGGGGACTCCAATCTCATCACTATCAACCCTGCTGCTCAGCTTTCTTTGAAGCTCACGACGACCAACTTTCCCTCCTGGAGAGCCCAAATCTTCACTCTTCTCATGGGGCTCGATTTTCTTGGTTATCCCGATGGCACTCTTGCTGCCCCATCCAAAACTATTGGTGACGCTCCCAACCTAGCTTACAATCCATGGTTTCGTCAGGATAAGTTGCTCCTCCATGCTATTTTTGCCTTTGTTTCAGAATCTATTTTATCTTATATTGTTGTTGTTGTCACCGCAAACGAGGCATGGGTTATCTTGCAGAAGATGTTTGCTAATAGATTTCGTTCTCGACTGATGATGCAAAAGAATGATCAGAGTGTTGTGACCAATCTTCAGAAGATAAAGAATCTCGCGGCAGAACTTTTTTGCTTCAGTGTCCTGTTCCTGAAGAAGATCTTGTTATCCACGTTCTTCGTGGCTTGGGTCCAGAATACAGGGAATTTTTCGGCTGCCATTAGAGCTCGTGATTCCTCCATTACTATTGAAGATCTCCATGACAAGATGCTGGAATTTGAAGCTGATATTGCCACTATTCGTCCTCGCTCTACTGCATCTCCGACCACTACGCACAATACTCAGCGCAATCATCGTGTTATCGACGTTGGTCGTGGACGTCGAGACAATAGGGACAGCCGCGGCCTTCTTCCTTCGCCTGTTCTTGCGCCACTTCCCTCTCCGGCTGACAATAGTCTTTGCTCTCGGTCTTTCTTTATCTGCCAATTCTGTGACAAACCTGGTCATACCGCCAAGAAGTGTTTCTGTATCAATCCTCAACCATGTCAAGCTCATTATACTGTTGTTCCTGCCGCTCCACCACCTCCTCCATCCTCTCGGCTAGTTGACAGTGCTTCCACCAATCATGTCACCTCTGATCTTGGCGATTTGGCGCTCTATTCTGACTAGCGCAGCCCGGACAAGATCCTCGTTGGTGATGGACAAGGTTTGAAAATCTCTCATATTGGTCATTCTTCTATTTCCACTCCCCAAACTACTCTTGTTCTTTGTGACATCTTAAGAGTTCCCGCAATTTGTTAACAATTACTATCTGTTGCTCGACTTTGCAAAGCTAACCCGGTGTTTATTGAATTCTTTGCTAATTTTTTTGTTGTTAAGGATCTAAGCACGGGGGCTACACTTCTGAAAGGCCGGAATAAAGGAAACGTTTATGAGTTGTCGAGGGATCTTCGAGAGATGCGTCTCGCCCTTGTCTCAACTCGTGTCACTCCCAACTTATGGCATCGTCGACTTGGCCATGCTAACTCCAAGACACTCTCTCAATTTCTTCATTCTCATGTTTTACCTTTTCAATCCATCCAGTTGGTTTTTCCTTGCAATTCTTGTTTTATCCACAAGAGTCATAAATTCTCGTATCATGTTTCTAGCTTAACTAGTAGTTGGCCTCTCGATCTCTTGTATTCCGATGTTTGGGGTTCTGCCCCTATTATTTCTATGAAAAGATTTTCTTATTATCTCATCTTTGTTGATCACTACACCCGTTATACCTGGTTTTATCCATTACAACGCAAGTCTGATGTGTTACAGGTATTTCTGGATTTCAAAGCTTTAGACGAAAATTACTTTCGTACCTCCATCTCTCATCTCTATACCGATGGCGGGGGTGAGTTTATCAAAATTCGATCCTCTCTTCTCGCTAGTGGTATATCTCATCTACTTACACTACCTCAAACACCTGAATAGAATGGTATGGTTGAATGAAAACACCGTCATATTGTAGAGACCGGACTCACTCTCCCTCACCAAGCATTGGTCTCACGTATTTGCAGTTGTTGTTTACTTAATTAATCAATTGCCATCATCTACTCTTCATGGTGCAATCCCCTTCTATAGTCTCTTCACTGACCATCCCCATTACACCAAACTCAAGATTTTTGGGTGCCTTTGCTTCCCATGACTTCGGCCATACTCCCACCACAAGCTTGACCCAAAGTCACGCCATGCATATTTATTGGTTATTCATCACAACAAAGTGCATATCGCTGCTATGATCCGTCCTCCAACAAAGTATTTGTTTCACGCCATGTTCGCTTTGTTAAGACCCAATTTCCCGGCTTGGCATTATCCTCCTCTTCGCCTACTCACTATTCAGCTAGTGCTTGGTTACCGGCTCTTGAACCACCTATTACTCTGCTTCCTTTACCTATATCTTCCTCTCTAGGTGCCCAACCCTCTTCTTGTCCCTTGGTGCTCCCTTCCCTAGCTTCGGCAGTGCTACCCCCCCCCCCCCCCAGCTTGGACTCACAACAACAACAATCATAGTCGTCTCCTACACCGACAGCTCCTGCCGCAGCTCCTCCTGCGCTGCCCTGCCCACGTAGAATGGTAACTCGCTCTCAGAATAATATATTTAAACCGAAGAAGTTATTTTCTGCTGTCAAGTATCCTCTTTCATCCTCTCTCCCAGCATATGTTGCGATTGCTCTCCATGATCCTAATTGGAACGCAACTATGCGCCATGAGCATGATGCATTAATGAAGAATATGACATGGGATTTGGTGCCTCGCACAACAACTCAGAATATTGTTGGTTCTCAATGGGTGTACCGCATTAAACAAAAATCAGATGGGAGCATTGATGGTTATAGAGCCCGGGTGGTGGCCAAGGGCTTCCAACAACGCCCCGGTGTTGATTTTTCAGATACCTACAGCCCGGTTTTGAAACTTGTCACTGTTCGAACAGTGTTCACCATTAGTGTATCCCATGTTTGGCCTATTGATTCGGGTCCAATTGTACACATTTTACCCCTCATTTCTTGATAGTTTGGCTTTGCATTTCATCGTCCCTCGAACGCTAGGTTGTGCTTGTTTGATACATTTCAAGTCTTAGCGCGTGTGAAAGGGTCGAGGACGAGTTTCGGGTCGATTGGAGGTCGAAAAATGCAAAAAGGTGAAAAAATGTCCAAAATCACGGTTTGAAAGCAATTATCACGGTCCATGCAGCGAGTTCACGATCGCCAGGACCGTGAACTGCAACCACAAATCGTGAACCACGACGCATCCAGAGAGGTTTCAAAGGTGACTCGTCCCGAATATCACAATTAATTCTCTCCTAAGGTCCAAGTATAAACCTTAGTAGGGTGCAATACAGGGCAAGTATGTTTAAATATCGACTTAGGCCGGTCCGTGTACCCCTACTTCAATTGTTTGAAACATTATCTAGCGAATCGGTTTTGGTTGAAAAGATTGCTAATTAAAGTAAAGCAAGGCAAAAGTAAACGGTTTTAAAAGCTCTATGTGAGAAGGATCACTCGGGTACCGCTTCCCCCTAACTACTACCATGGCACGAGGAATTGAATTACTTGTTAAGGGCAAGGTGACCGTGAACCGCTAGGAAATGCAACTATGGTCGTAGACCACACTCTCGTTTGCTAACCAAGGGATACATTATAGGCTACTCAAGTACCCTCTTGGTTAAGGCAATCGATGGCTGACTTACTCTCTCACTCAACCCAATGGTTGGTCGGCTTAATCACGCTTAACCAAATTGCTCAATTCAACGTAGAGGTTTGCCCTACATTAACCTAGATAGGTGGCTTAAAAAGCCCAAGGAATCCCAACTCAATTGAACCTCCCTTGAAAGGGGGTTTCCTTCTCATCTAGGTTAGAATGGCCAATTGGATTGCTAAGCACAAACATCCACAATCAACATGAAAAATACCTCAATCATTGAATTAAACAACACCCATATACAATCATTCAATTCACCCAACAACTACATGGCAAATAGTTAGGGTTTCACAAC